CTGGGATTCTGCCAGCTGCTTGTTGAGAGCCAGTCTGATTAATCAGGAACACTTCACATTCAAGAGCTACATGGTTAAGAACTCCTCCCTCTACAGCAGCTGAGTTTAAGTTGCCCATTTTCACAGAGCTATTGGCTGTTCCTGACACCAGATACAACAGGTAGAGCATCTCTTGCTTTTATAAAACCTCTAAACATCCTTCACATCTAGCAGCCTATATGACAGATGAACTAAGCAGCTCACATCCAGCAACAAAAGCCTGAAGCAAACCTAGATGGCTAAGCAGGAACCAGCCTTAGATCTTACACACTGCTACAGAGTAGTTTTGGATTTTGGGGAATAAAGGCTCCACAAAAAATAGGACAGGCACATCAGAAGCACAAACGCATAATACTTTTCAATTCTCTTTAAAAAAACACTGATGGGAGATTAGCAAAAGCCAGATGATTGGTCTCTCCCTCTACATCAAAAATTACAAGCAAACAGTCTAGAAATCCCAAGTTAATGCTGAAGCAGGACAAGCTGGAGCTTATCAAGCTACAGAAAGTGGGTAGCATTGAGGTTAAGCCATTTTCCCAATGAGCTTGAAAGCATCAAGGACAGTATATGGGTGTCTAACAGTTTTTATGGACTTGTGGTTTGAAACACAGCTGTTACTGCTGCATCTGGGCAGCCTTGGGAAGTCACACAGTGACATCTGCCCTGCATGTCAGAGGTTAATCTTAGCATGGTATGATGAATGACAAGACATCTTCCACTTCTGTATGTTGTGTGCCTTGCTCCACAATCACCACCTCCAGCCACTTCAGCTGGAGTTTTGCTGTCCAGACAGAGTGGTGACACACAAGAAAACCAAGCCTTAACGCTGCACTGACAGGTACAGATCCATCCTCCCCAGCAGCCATGGGCAATGGTGCTAAAAACTGTCCACACTGAACTAGGCTGTGACCCATGCTGTGATGGGTGAGGCACTGCTCAGCAACAGGCTAGTTTTGTATTAACTGCTGGTTTAGAATTCGCACATATGGTTAACATGACCTTAAAGGTCCTCCCAGACAGTGCACCAGCCAGCCTCCTCCTTAGCCTCAGTACGTGCAATGTGCATGACCCTGTGCTTGGATCGCAGCAATCCCAACTACAACTACATGCTAGGCAGAAAATTGATTGAGAGCGGCCTCAAGGAGAAAGACTTGGGGTGTGCTGGTTGACAAGAAGCTCAACATGAACTAGCAGTGCTCACTTGCAGCTCAGAAAGCCAACTATATCCTGAACTGCATCATGACAAGCACAACCAGGAGATCAAGAGAGGGGATTCTCCCCCTCTGCTCCGCTCTCATGAGACCCCACCTGGAGTACCATGCTTGAGCTGGACGCCTCAATACAAGAGGGACATGGACCTGTTGGAGCAAGTTGTAAGGAGGGCAATGAAGATGCTCAGAGGGCTGGAGCACCTCTTCTGTGGGCACAGGCTGAGAGAAATGGGGTTGCTCATTCTGGAGAAGGCTCCAGGGAGGCCTTAAAGCACACTTCCAGTGCCTAAAGGGGGCAACAAGAAAACTGGAGAGGGACTTTTGACGAGGGTATATAGGGATAGGACAAGGGAGAATAGCTTTAAACTGACAAAGGCAAGATCTAGAATAGATATTAGGAAAAAAAACTTCACCGTAACGGTGGTGAGAAACTGGCACAGATTTCCAACAGAAAAACCGTGGCTGCACCATCTCTGGCAGTGTTCAAGGCCAGGTTGGACGGGGTTTGGAGCAACCTGGTCTAGTGAAAGGTGTTCCTGGCCATGGCAGGGGGGTTGGTACTAACCCAAACCCTTCTGTAATTCTAGTCTAAGATCCCTGGCTTACATCCCATATTTAACAATGACAGAAGTGACTTGAGGACCAGCTGAAGGAGACAGCAGCTGTTTTGCTGTGGCCACCAGCCTCCAACTAAAAACTGCAGGGATCACACAGAAGACTGAACATAGCAGGCTACCTGCCACTTTGGAGAGTTGTACCTGCCAAGTGCAGGTACCATGCTTAAAGGTGTGCAGCCAGCTCTGTCAATACCTACCATGGCACACATTACAGCAGAAGAATCTAGTCTGAAAGTAATGTGGTTACTTTCAAAAGAAGCACTTTTCAAAGCATGGTGGGAGGCTTACACAGTAGTCCCAAGTAAGAAAATTGTTCAAAGATATAATCTAGCTCCCTCGCAGCCCTAGAGAAAGCTGCAGTGTTTAGCTTGCTATAAACACACAAATTCTGGACACAGGAACAAACTACATAGTTAAGTCTCTCAGACAAGTGAGCCTCATCCTTTGCTGTGTCCTGTCCCCATATCCTATAATCCCTTTATAGGATTTCTCCAGTGATGAAGGGCAAGTAAAACCAGTCACACCAGAGTCTAGGAGGATATTGGTTACCCAGCTAATCTCTCCAGAGCCCACTAGAGAGGCAGATAAGCTTATCTAGAAACATTCAAAGTACCCCATGTTTGTGTGTGCAATTTGATTTTTAGAACAGTTTTGCATTCAAGACAGGTAGGTGAATATAATGATGCAATTAACCACAGGCAGCTTGGCACAGATGGTCCCCAAGAAACAGAACTGGCGGCACAGCAGGGGTTTATATTTAATGATGAGCCAAGCCATCAGTGAGACAAGTCAGCAAGATCCCACTAAAGGCAGTGGAGATCAGCTAAGCTCACTCAGCTCTTCGCACTTCTTCCATTGGTGAAGAACGTACAGCCTACCCACAAAGGGCCAAGATCTCCCATTAGGGACCCAAACATATGCCTACAACAGCAGGTTGGCAGCATCTAGATATTCTGAGATTAAGCACTAGGAACTGTAATATTTGGGGAATGGAAATCAAGCTTCCAAATGCCATACCCCACCCCACCCAAGAGGATGTGGTAACCCCTAATTGCATTACACAGAAAAAAAATAATATTAGATACTTGCAGCTCAAAAGCTTCCTTCATGCTTAACTGGGGCAGTAGCATCCCTAGGCAGAAAACCCATCCCCAGGTGGTATTTGTCCCATTTTACAAGATGTGGATTGGTGATTCCTAACACCAGTGAACATTCTGGCTCACAACACTAAAGGGATTTGGACCACAAAAGCTATGCCATTTGTCAAAACCACACAGCACACCAGAGAGCACCATGTAATTTGATGAACGGGTACCTGCAAAGCCATACCCCAGAGCCAAAAAACCCATAGCCTTCTAATACAGTCCTCATCGTTTAGGAAAGCTAGTTCTGACTACAGCCCACATTTGTCCTTAGAGAAGCTCAGAGCATATTTAAGAGCAAAGAAAAGGCCTGTGGTTGCATAAGACTGCTCAGCAGGAGCCCAAGGAAACTGCAGCAGTCCTGTGTCAGAGCAGAAGGACTGTATTTTATTTTTTTTAATGTCTATGGAGAAAGCCTCGTTAAATAATGACACCAATACTCAGCTGAAACAGAAATCCCTCTTACCTTCCTGTGCAGGCTTCTACAGGAGATTCCAGAGGGCTCAAAAACTGTTTAGTCTCCTGAATCATACTGCTCTTGCTAAGCAGACACCTTTTTTCCCCATCCTGAAAGATCAGATTTTCACACACACACACACACACACACACACACACACACACACAAGCCCTTCTTCCCCTGCTGTCATTCTTCCACCATCATCACCACATCCTTGCACTGCCAGATATATGGCAAGATTTATCCTGGGAAGGGGCTATAGCTGGAGGTCAACAGAGCTCATAGCAGGCTTCAAAGCTAGCAGCAAGCCTAACAGACAGCAGAAGCTGCAGCACCTCACACATGCAGTGGAAAGGGCTCCCAAATTCTGCTGCCCTCTAAACTTAACAAGAGTGAGAGTTATTGCTTCATGCAGAGAAAAAATGCTGATGAGCTGTTGTCTATAGCACCCCACCTCTAATCAGAAGAAAAATACCATCTGGCATTCCACCCCTGGAGGGCTGCCAACCTTTGCAGTAAAAGATGCAGGCAAGAGAAGGTCAAGATTAAGGAAGGGAAGCAAAACGGGCAGAAAGATTAATCCCTGCCAGGTGGCATCAGTCCAGACTGGAGTACAAAACTGGACGGATGAGCAAGCAGAGAAGAGTAAGCAGGAGAGAAAACAGGAAGCAGAAGTGAAAATTCTCCACAGGAAAGTCATGGATAAGCTGGAGAGAGAACAGATCTGAGCTACAGACCAACTGCTGAGTAGGATCTACTTCACCTCAGCCTCTCTTGATGGGTGTTTGCACAGGTGGAATTGGCATCACTAGGTTTCAACTTCCTGAAGACAGCCAGGGAGAAGAGACTCCAAGACTGGCAGCGTGCAAAAGCAGTTTAAGAGAAGACTACTTAAGAAAAGCTTAAGAAGAGAGTTTAAGAGAAGAGAAAAGGGTGAGATAAGGCTGGAGGAGCCAGTAATGGGACACCGGCTTAGCAAGTAGCTTTGAGTTGGAAGAGCATCTCATAGGGGATGTATCCTTTGCCTCTTGCAGTAGCGATGCATAGGTAGTGTAAATAGGGCACCACTTGTTCTGGCAGGGTTTCAGCCAAGGTACCCATCTCCTGCTGAACATCCCCCGCACACTGAATTCAGCAAGAGGTTCAGCAGTAGTGTGGGCAAGGGGCTCTCCAGCTGCTGAACATGTTCCCATGGGTGTTATCTGGTACAGAGGTTCTGCAATGGGTGCACACACGAGCAGTTACAGGCATACAGAGCCAGACTACTGCAACAGCAATATTACAGCTGCTTCCTCTCCAAGGGAAAACCCCATCCCTTCCACCACTGCCACCTGAATTTCAGCCATCCTCCAGGACACTGTCCATTGCTTGTTTCCTGTACTTCCTTGAAGGGGACAGGTTGCTCAGCAACTTCATTAGGAACAACAATATATGCATATAGTTATGTGCCAGTCAGGCAAATTGGGGATGTGTCAAGGCAAGTGTGCCACTCCACATGAAACTGACTGCTTCTTAGCCTTGGCATCAGTAGTACCTTCTGACTCCAGGCGGTCCAGCCCATAGGTCTCAGCAGTACTGATCCTCCTCACAGGTGGAAGAGCTGTTCTCCTGACAGAAGATGCCATTGATGCTGGAGTTACCAGGACCATAGTTCTGCTGGATGGCTCCTCTGTCTGTCCAGACTGGGTTGCAGACATCCCACCAGGAGCTGTAACAGCCTTCTCACTGGTGACCAGAACATCTGTGATGTCTACAGATGACAGGAAGCAGCAGCAGTTAATCACAATATTAAAAACCCAAGCATTTAAGAACAGACTCATCAATGAAAACTTAACTCAGAGTGGAAGATATTAAACTCTTACCCTGTTTAAGTTGCACAAGTGACTCTGCTGTAATGAAAGCTTCCCCTCCAGGACAGCCAGCACAGAACTCAAGAACCCCTTAATGAGAACTCAGCTAGGTTTTATTTCCACTGCTTTGAAGACTGCTAGTCACCATACCATAGGAATATCAGATTTCAGCCAGTGTCTCAGTGCTCTGAACTGAGTGGCAGAGCTAGCTGTTTACTGCAAAGAAAAATTATAGAATCATAGAATGCTTTGGGTGGGAATGGACCTTAAAGATCATCTAATTCCAACCTCCTGCCACAGGCACGGACAAATCAGTTGAATTGTTACTTAAAACCCAGAAGCAAATTAGTGCAAACCACTGAAAGAGCTCTCTCTCACCTACAAAGGGACTGTAATTTAAGAGATAGAGTGCAAATAGGTGTTTTCTTTTGTTGCCCTGCAATGTAAGAAATACAAAAAGTTTCCAAGCTGCAGTTTCATTACAGTGGTACCTACTACTACAGAAATATCCTCAAGCTCCATCAGCTTTGTGCTAAGGGAAATCTTGCTACATTCCTGGCAAGACGGGTTCCTACACGTACCTGCCAAGGTGACATCAAGCCAGCAGGCAGCAGCTAACTGAACACAACTGCTTAAGCATTTCTGTATGAATCACATCAGCCCCAGAAGAACTCACTATTCCTCAGTAGAAGTGAAAATCAGTGCAGGCTTTCACACCTGAGGGTTTGCCAAACACTTTCAAGAGGGTGTCTAACCACATACTACCACTCCCACATTACCCTGATTAAGCTTTCATCCTTCAGACTGAGCATCAGCAATCTGACTGCCTTTGGCTCCAGAAGTAAGAGCTTACCCTCCATAAATATAAACTGGCTCAAATGTCTAAGGCTAAAAGTCAGCTTGCCAGTAAGGACTGATGTAGGGAGTTTGTTTTGGATTATTTTTTTGTTTTTATAAATATCTACTCCACCTTTATACGGAACAAAACATACGCTGGCATATTTCAACCTGGTGGATCTGGCAGCATGGGGAGAAAGTGGCAGGGCTAGAGGCAGCCTGCAGAAGGCTAGAAAAAAGTCACTTAGAATACATATGCGGTGTGTTGAGACTTCAGTGTCCAGTAATACTGGTTCCAGATATACCACCTCACCTTGTGCAGAAATGAACCACGGTCTGGGAAGTAGAACCCTACCTTCCACATCTGGAATGTTTGCTGTAGAGGAAGTACCAGCTGCCACCACCATCTGGGTAGCACTAGGAGTAGTCACCATCTGAGTGTCCTCTCCACTGTTTTCCTGGGGAAAGCTTGAAGCTCCTGCTCCCTGGGTAGCACCAGGCACTGGTGTTGCAACTAACAGAGCAGTATCAGACTCCTGGACAACTGTAGTCGCCTCCTGAGTAACACCTACAGGAAGAACGTGTGTCAGTACCAACTTGCAGGACAACAGACAGAAAAAAAAAGCAGATATTTGAAGGAATGTGACTCCATGCATTAGCATTTTCAGAGCCACAGTGCAAGCAGCAAGTCCTGTTAAGTATCATCAGGGCACTGCAGCATAAAGACAGACACAAGAATGCATGTAACAGTAATGAAAGCCACAGAATCAGTGTTTTCTTAATTGCCCTTTAGGGACACAAAGGCCCATTGGGAACTAATGCCAAGGAGTTACAGCACTGCAGACCTTTAGTGTGAAATACCAGTTGAAACATGTGAGGCTTCCAGAGCAGTGTTTTTAGTGACCCAGTCTGATGGCTGCAAGACTTCAGCTTTTTTAGAAAGGTTTATTTTTGTTGCACGAATCTTATTGACAGTGTTTACCCAACATCTGTGATACAGCAGACAGGGAACCTGCTGACAAGTCAAGCACTTACGAATTAATCTAGAAATCAGTAATGTTTCAACACCAGCATGCAATCAGCTTTCTTTTACAGCAAAAGCCAGATCTTTCAGGTGCAGTGATGGGAAGTTGTCCCTTTGCCTCTGTAGCCTAAGAGGGAAGATTAAAGATGCCCAGCAATTAAGATAAAGTCCTAAATCACAGCTCATGTTTCTCACCCCAGGAACGTCATTGCTCAGTATCTGACCAGAGCTCTTCTTAGCATTGCTTCCTCTTCCTCCCACCAACCCCGTCCCTCCACCCACCCCAAGTCATTAGGGTCACTGTCATTAGGCTGCAGGTGTCATCTCTACAGGTAAGTGCAGTAGAGGATGACACCAGCAGCCTGTGACAGGTTGTCTAGGAGGAAGATTTCTGCCTGTTGGTAACAGACTTGGCACAAGCAGTGGACAGTCAGAGCCTGGCCACAGCTTTGTTCTAGGGTGTGAAGGCAACACCAGGAGCTTTTGTTACAAAGAACAGCACACAGTTCTGGACAGATCTTTTCATCCAACCATTTTAAAGTCAAGGAATATGTCAATTACTCACAGGCTATGAGTACAGCTTGCCTATTCCTGGACTTAGGAAGCATTTACATCCATACATTGTCTCTGCATCTTCTGCACTAACTGCAAGTATCCATAGCTAGCAGTTGAGAACCAAGTGATCCCAGATGCTAATTAAATCCCCCAGGAATTATCCCCCCCTCCATTTTGCAGGGCTTCAGAGTAAGCTAGTGCAAGGACCCCCTTTAAGTCCTTGAACCTGCTATATGAAAGGGACACTTGGGTGAGTGCTGTCCTCCTTGAAATAGTGTTTAACCAGTGGGTCTAAGATTGAGCTCCCTCCTTAGTCATTACAAGAGGCATAATAGAGGGTTATTCAAAGTAGATTTATGTATCCCTACAGCTCTGCCCCTCAACCATTATGGGAGGGTAAAGCTGAAGCCCCTGCTTTGGTAGCACACCATACATGCATAACATTAACAAAGGAAATTTTCTAACTAGCACCAAGTATTTGCTAAGACTCCGGTTCCCTGCAGACATCCACACTGAAGTACATCCATCAGCCACAGGCTCAACTGCCACAGACTTTCCTGTTTGCTACTATAGCTACTCTCCCTCAGCTCCAGAAACTGAAGGGACAGCTCAGTCTAGTTGCTTCACATCACAGGGCAGGGTACTGCCCAACACACTGTGCCTCCTTGTACACAGGGACATTGTGTATAGGAATAGCCAAGGCTATGCCGTACTTTATGGATGCAAATTACCTGTTTAGGCTCTTACCCCTCCACAAAGGTCCCATAGCCTTTCTTGGGGAGAAGATGTGTCCTACCTCTACTGCAGGTATCAAGATAACACCTTTCTCTACTTCATCTCCCTGAAGGAAGCAGATTGCCAAGAGCATCCCTCCTAAACCTACACTTAGAGGAAAGTGTTTTTAACAGACAAGTTTTACCTTTCCATGAGCTTTCCAGAGTAGGAAGGAGATCAGACTGCATATCTGTCACCACAGCAGCCTGTGGCTGTAATGAAGGGATGTTTTTCCCCTCCTCTGCTGTAACTGCACTTATGTTTTCCAGGGAGTTGAGATCAGCCATGTCTACACCCACCAGGTCTGCAGTGGGGACAGCATCACCATGGCCTGTGGAAGCTGCTGGCAATTCCTCCCCATGCACCAGTGCTGTGCAGTTGGTCTCCTTGGCAAGATCAGGAGCTGGTGGAGTGGATGCTGGGGATGGCACCACTCTTACTGCATCCTCTTCCTCCCCTACACCTCCCTGTGGTGTCTGGGATGGTTCTGTTATGACCAGGTCCTCTGTCACCTCCTCAAGAGACACACTTCCCCCTTGACTTATGTCCCTCACTTTTGTGTCATCCCAGTCAGGTAGCACCATGTCCATAGTGTGGATAGTGACAGTGCCAGCCATGGTAGGCAGCTCTCCTTGCCTTTCACCTGTCCCTGCTTCCAGGTGGAGGGAGGCTGAGGTCACCACAGGTAGATGTTTTGCAGCCACAGATGCTGGCACAACCAGGGACTTTAGAGGGCTCCCTGTGTGGGGTCTTGTTACTTCTAACTCAGGAGTTATGCCATGAGCCTGGGGAGTCAGGATGACAGTGTGGTCACTTGCTGTTCCCCACCTGGGAGAGCTGGGATACAGTGTGGGCTGGGGTGCCACTGAGGGGTGCGAGTTGCTCCCTGCCTCCTCCTCCACAGCAGTCCCAGAAAGAGGGTTTGCCAAGAGGCCAGGAGAGCTGTGCTCTACTTCAACACCACCTTCAGTGGTGGTCCCACTAATGGGGCCACCAACAGACTCCTCCTGAACAGTAGGGTTCAGCGTGGTCACAGCTGTGGTCAGCATGGCCTTGAATGCACCATCCTCTTCCAGCTCTGACTTTGTGGGATGAAGCTCACCCTCATCAACAGCAGCCACTGCCACAGCAGAGGTATAATCACCCAGACCCTGGATGCCTGGAATGACATGGCTCAGGCTTACAGACAGCACTTCTCCTTCTGCAGTGAAAGCTTCATTTAAGGGTATCCCAGATGGTTTTATCAACACTCCACGTGGCTTTTCAGAGATAGTCTGCTCAGAAGGGCCCAGGTTATTCTTCAAGTTCAACATGCTTGTCCTTTCATCTTCAACCCCATTCCCTGCCCAGGGGCCATGCTGGACCTTTGTCATGTCCCTCTCCTTCAGTGGCAGAGATGCAACACATGGTAGACTAGAAGACAAGAGCAGGATGCTGCAGGTGACCATGCAAGTGTTAAATCCTATTGATCTACCCATAGCTGAGAAGAAATGTGCCTAGAAGCCTGCAAAGCTGACAAGTCCAGATTGCATGACCTAGAAAGGAAAAAGGAGCAAGATTACACATACCCATAACCAACCATTGACCTTAGGCCTTAAGTAACTGGGTGACAATTTCCAAGCATGATAGCCTACAGCCAGCTCTGGGCAGACACCACCTATACATCCCAAGCAATGAATCCCTTCATTTATTTTACTATTCCTAGCCTACGCAATCTGAAGTCTAACTTAAGTTAGACAAAACGCTCTTGACCTGAAGCCCAAGACAGACCTTGCCAAGCTCTCACACCAGTGGTAGAGGACTATGTTTTACCCAGCAGGCATCAGACTCGCAAGTAAATGCTCCATCCCTGACAGTGTTGAAGGTCAGGTTGGACACCGCCTTGGACAACATGGTCTAGGGTAAGGCGTTTTTGCCCAAGGCAGGGGGATTGGAACTAGGTGATCTTAAGGTCCTTTCCAACCTTAACCATTCTATGATACTATGAGGATCAACCTATGTGTCCTTTATCAAGTCAGGTCCTACATTTGACCTGAATCAGACTGAAGTTTCAGGGCTGTTATGGCAAGCCCTGTTCTGTGCATTGACACAGAAGGAAACCAAGGAACTCACATGGAACAAGGTGCATCTATAGATTGCAATACAGGACCAGAGCCAAAACAGGAGGCTTCAGGACTGCATTAAGTCTTGTGTCCTGTACAAGAACCTTGGCCCCACTGAGAAAGACTACAGTCCAGATAGCAGTACTGCTGCATTAGCACAGTGTTTATCCTGCACTGCAGCATGGAGGCATGTCCAGGAAGTTTCACATGAATAACTGTTGTGTGCTTCAAGAGTTTCCAAGAGAGCACTGAAACAGTAGCCCAGCAGAGATTTAGCCAGCTGATAGCCTGCTCTTGGCAGGTTCTGTTGTCTCTAGCAACACAACTCAGGCTGCCATGCAGTTGAAGGACAGCAGCAGCCTGCTCCCAGCCACCTCCCTCTGGGCAGACGCCTCTCAGTCCCGGGCTTGCTGCACCATCATTTAGCAGATGACCACCACACCATCCCATGCAGGACAGCTGGTCACACAAGTCTCATGTACACAGGAAACAGCCATCCATCACACAGCTAAGATCTTCCTCCTCCTCCCAGCTGCAGGAGTCAGCTTGCCAGTGGCACAGTCAAGCTCAACTGTAAGAAGCCCCCAGTTATCAACAGTTTCACTTGCTTTGACTGGTACATTCTCAGTTCTACAAGTGAACTGCTCTTACATTTGAGCCACAGGACTAAGGAATATTATTAAAGAAAGGTTGGGGCTATCAGAACCACCCCTCAGCCTTCCGAAAAGCAAAGATCACTCTCTGCAGTCTTGCTCATGGGCACCAGAACGAGCCCCCCAGCTTGCTAGACTCCTCATTTCCTCACCCAAACAGCATGTAGATAAATATTACCTGCATTTGTACACACACACCGCAGCAGCAAACCACCTAGCACTGCTTTGCTACACAAGGATGCATCATTCCTCCATGTCTTCTCACGTACCCATGTGATGCTGTGCAAGAGGTAACTGCTGTTGTGGGGAGAGTGATCTCAGTAACACCATATTTGTGCTAGTCCAGCTAACACAAAGGCCCTCTGCATCCTGCTGCTCATGTACATTTGTCCCCTTTGGGAAAGCGTTATTGTACCTATCCAGTTAGCTAAATACAACCAAGAACACAGAAAGCTGGTCACACACAGCTATATATATTTCCATTGCAAAGAATACCTCTTATTCCACACAGAAGACTTCTCTAGCTGATCTAATCTGCAGGGTTGTCTGTAGGCAGACAACCTCAGCAGTACCAGCTTAGACACACACACACACATCAGTCAACTACTGCAGGCTACTTATCTGGTTGAGCCTTCAGGGCACACCGAGTCACATTTTCCATTCTCCCTGCAGCCCTGGCCCTCAGCAGCTTGAGCTGCTGGAATAATTCCCTGTCACAGGACACACGGACACGGACACACACACACGGTGCTCAGGGACAAACAGAAACCACCAAGAAGCTACTCACCAGCAGCAGCACACACAGTTCTACTGGAGGATGGGCAACAACCCATCTATTACCTCTAACCTCCCTGCCATGAGAAAAAAAGGAGTTGAAAACTGACAGTGTTCAGCTATTCTCCCTTTATGTGCTTCTGTAATTAAAAAGCGCTGAGAGTGTTTTATGCAATTTAAATTGCTAGTGCCCAATGACAAGCATCTGCCTTGCCATGCTGATGAACATAAATTATGTTCGTCTCACACACTTTTAGCAAGGGCCCATTAAGATAAGACTTACTGAAGCACCAAGAGCTTGTTATTTTTTAAATAAAGAACAGTTTGGATCTAAATACACTTTCTCTAGAAGTCGGGAGCATTTCAGGCTATGCAAGTAGTTTTAGCAGTGGCTACACCTAAACAGAACTCCAGCTGCACTTGAAAGCCATGGCATTTCACTAGCAATCATACATGTTATACATAAGTATATACACATACATATATACATTTGTAGGTTTCTAGTTCCAAGAAGCCCAAGATATCTAGGAGGTGGTTAAAAATACTGAAATTAATCTCTTCCCAACAAGCTTACTCCACCTTTCCTAGGATCAAGCACATCAGTGAATAAGAGGGAAATTTGCTCCCTAGAAGGCTAGCTTTCTGAGATCCATTACTTAAAAACTTGCCTCCTTCTGGCTCATAGATAACATAGGCAGTCAGTACTAGACAGATACAAGAATTCCCAGGGCACTTTGGCAGCCGCAGACTCATACCCCCTGTCTGAAAAGCACTATTGGTCATAGTCCTACATTTCTAAAGTATAAAAATAATGGAGAGTTATTTGCTCAGGAAATCCACAAGTAGATCTAAGCTAACCTAGACCTCTGCATTCAATAAAGACCAAACATAGCAGCAGGCAGCTTACTGCAGGATAATGGCACAAGTTCATGCTTCAAAGAAGATTAATCAGAGCTTAAAGTACTTAGCTTTAGGATGAGGCTGGATTAGACAGTGTATGAACACCAGTGACCTGGTATCTTCTTAAGCAGAGTTTGACACCTTGTTATAGGAGTTCCACTTAATGCAAAAGCAATACAAGTTTTAGCAGATAGCTGGCTGCAGAGCAGTGTTACTGAAGCTGCAGTGGGCTATACATGTTATTCTCCCATCCAGCTATTTTTATAGTCAGTATGCTCTACTGCCTTAGCCAAGCAATAAACGTAAGCTGGAACGTGCTGCTCTGACCAAGCACCTCCTCTGTAGTAAGCTTAAGCTTTTTTGTTACTAGCTTGAAGCTGTAGGATAACTCTGTATTTCATGCCACAGGAGTTCCTTGTCCCCAGATTTCACCTGGCATTCTCCAAGCTGAAGCCCTGGAGATCAGCTGCCAAGCGCTAGCCAGGTTCTCAGTGGAAAACTAATCCTTGCTTCAAATAGGAAGCATACACAAAGACAATGCCAGCTACTTCCCCTGCACTTAATAACAACAAATCCCAAGAGATGCAGTTCCCTTAGCTGCAAAGGCAGCACAACTGCAGACAACCAAAGAGCTTCATCTTTAGCATAGGGGAGGGAATTTGCCTTTAACACCTAGTAGGCTGGAAAGAAGCACAAAGGGCTACTAGGCTAAAATAGGAGACAAAACTGGGCACCTGCAGGAGCTGCCCATCAGAATAAGAACCACCTACTACTGGGGCAAGCGACCAAACTGGGGCACAATAAATATACGTTGGTCACCAGTTGAAGCAGTCTTGCAGACTCAGCTGGATCTTTCAGAGTCAGGCTGCTTCCTTGCTCCATACAATTAGCACTAGCGACAGCTATTAAACCTTTAACCCCTCTCTGAGACCTGTTTGAAGAGTCAGCTCTTGGAAGGTCTGACAGAATCCAGCTCAGAAGGAACCCCGGCCTGTTATGGTCACTCCAACAGGGCAGGCTTGAAGGGGATGAGCACAGACCAGACCAGGCTTCTCTCATTCAATAGCTGTTCCTTACACAGACCAGCATCTTGTGGACACATGCTGCAATGAATGAAACTCTCCCCTCTCGTCCCATTGTACCCAGCTGCTCCCTAGAATGCCTTTTAGAGTTTTGCCCAGCCAGTTTAGTTGGGGATAATGCCCCAAGAAAACCATTTGCTGTTATTTTCTGCCTTGGGCAAGTTCTGGCTGTGTTCTCAGAGAGAGTCAAGTTTTTAACTCACTTTAATTAATAATCATGTTCTAACAATCCCTCTCTCACACAGAAAGTACACTTGTAGTCTGTAGCTGAGGTGGCTGCATGCAACATATAGCAGAGAGCACACAAGATTAACAGGTCAGCTTCAGACAAATCACTGACTAGCCTTTGCAGAACAGAGCTTTTCACACCTCTCAAGTACAAGCTTGATTACACCAGCTTCGACTAGCTGAACAGTCCTGGATGTGCTCAGCTCCACAATTCATCTACCTGTTCAGGGAAATGGACAAAAACAGTGCAAATCTTTCAATGCAAAGATTTTAGCCAAAACATACAAGTCACGCAACTGCCAGCAATCAAATGCTGTTACCAGAGTGCTAATGTATGCTACCCAAGCCTTATTACTTGTGCTGAATACAAAAGCCAGCAGACAATACACTGCAGAGCTCCAACTCCTACTTTTGTACACAAGCTCAGAAAGAAGCTTTCATTCCGTCTTTGCCCTGTTCGAACAAGTGAATTGTAAAAGCTGATGCTCTTACCACACTTCCTGCAGACAAACAGACCTCAACCAGTTAAGCCATCCTTAACAACTCGCAGTGAAACCCCAACAGTGACATGACTCAGGCTATGTTGGTGGGTGGTGTCAAGTAGGATGTGCAAACCTAGACACATCTTCCTCTACTTTGAAGATAGTCCCTTACAAGCAAACAAATGAGATGTTAATACTCTGTAAGAACACCTTCCTACTAGTCCTAGGGAGCCACCTTAATACATAATAGATCACCAAAAGACATGACATGTTTTAGACATTATTCCTCCAACCACTAAGCAGTCACCTGCTTTGTTCAGAGCAGCACACACCGTCTGCGGAAATCCCTACTCAGATTTGGAAGTAAAAGCCACAAGCTGGCCCATGCCAGATCCCCTGCAGCAAAAGTCAGAGGTTTACCAGATTCCTGAAGGATTAAAAAGATTGGGAGGAGGGGCATCCAAGAATGAGGCCAAGGGGTGCAGCAGGTTCCAGAGACCAGGAGGATGGAAGCATTGCTCTCCAGACAGACTGGAAGCATTCAGCTTCCAATCAACAAGAACCACTTGAAAATTTCAGTGTCTCATCACAGACAACAACAACCTGCAGTAGATCTGGAGGATCATGAGTCTCTTCAGGTTAAGGTTGAAAATTAAGTACACCTTGCCAGGCGTTTTTACCTTTGGTTCAAACTGCTTTTTGCCAGAGAACAGAATTAGGGATGGCTGGAGGCTTGATTACAGTCAGCACACCTGCTTGCGAGGCATCTTCCTGTCCTCCTCAATCATATTTACAGATGAGCTTAACAACCCAGCAGTGCAACCCTACAGCCACCCCACCAGTGTGAACAACCAGCCGGGGATGTCTCCAGCTCAGGCCTGCAGCAGGACAGAAGCACAGCCGTGGTCCCCTACACGCCATCCCGGGAGGAGGAAACCGTCCCCGGGGTTTCTCCGACAGAACACACCGAGACCCCAGCCCCGCAGGATGACACCCTCCGCCCCTCATTCCCCCGGGACCCGCTCGTCGGGAACAAAGAGCCTCGCCGAGGATGCTCTGCCCCTCGGGCAGCCGAGCATCGTCACCCACCAAACAGTAAATCAGAACGGACAAACGCGGGGACGATCCAGTTTGCGGGTGCCGTCCCCCCACTTCAGCCGAAGCCCCCCGGCCTCACCTGTCTCCCGCCGCCGCCTCCCCAGCGCCGCGCTCGCCCCCCGCGCCCGCTCGGGCGGGGCGGAGCGAGCCGGCCCCGGGGCGGTGCCGGGACCGGAGCAGCATCGGCTCCGCCTGCCGGCAGTGGGCTCCATAGCGGCCGTGTCACCGCGGGGAGTGGGGATGTGTTTCCCGTTAGCTCCCGTCTCCACAAGGAAGTTTTAGCACCCAGGTGTTCCCTCCTCCACAGCTGGGATCAGAGTCCAAACCAACAGGCTCCCTCGCTTTGCTCGCAGGAAGATGAAGAAGCGAGGCCTACACTACTCTTGGCAGTTTTTCATCTTACTACCGTTTCTCCTCCGGTCACCTTCCCCCAGTACTCTCTAAAAACAAGGAGGACTTCTGAAGTAATATCCCACACAAGTCTTACCAGAACTTATTTCAGTTTCTCTGTTCTTTTGGCTTGCTTTAAACACCTACTTGGCCAAGGAGAAAGAAATCTCAAAGATACTTAACACTTGTTTCCCCCGCACACACCTGGTTTTTTCCCCACCAGGCATCCCACAGCTAGCCCAACACGAGTAGTAAACCTTTACACCATCAGGTCCTGACATACTTACCAACTCACTTCATCAAATACCAGCACAGAAGCTCATAATTTGGTGCCAAGACCAAAAGAAGAGCCTAGGTTACCTTCCTTTTGCCTCCCATCTCAGCTTGGTAACAGGAGCACTAACAAAGCCTCAGTCCCACACACAGGATTTTCTACATTGTCTGAGGCAATGACTTGTTCAGACTGGTGCTGCAGCAGGTGCAAAGCATTCATGGTGAGCAGGGACAGGTGAGAAAAGACTGAAAATGAGGAAGTGGCTGGGGTGGAGAGAGTTGGGGAGGACAGTCCAGTCCAGTCCAGTCCAGTCCAGTCAAGTCAAGTCAAAAATCTTGATTTTGCTATGAGTGTGCTTTGCTACATGAAGTAAATCAGTGAATCCTTCTGTGCTTCCAGTTATAACAGCAATCTATAAAACTAAGCTCCTTTTTTTATTTCCCCGGACAAAGTGAGGTTTAACCTGCAGGTAGATATCAAACACCCAGCTCTTTCAATAAACAGTATACCTGATTGAAGAAAACTGAGATACTCCTTATTAATAAATTGTTCATTATATTTTTCTTTTTGCTATGCTACTGGAAATAACATTTACCTTAGTGGTTTGTCCTCTTTGCTGGACTCATTCCAATGTTTTACCTCTCTAATTTTAGAGAAATAGAGTGTTTTCTAGTGGATTTCAACCAAACTGGAACCAACCCAATTCATTTTGGTAGCATTCTGCATCCAATATTAAAACTTTTAAAAGACAGGTTTGTTGTACGTCAGAGCAATTTCTTTCAGAGAAATATTGCTAACCTCCGCATAAGTTGAAAATAAAGTCCAAAAATGCTTGTATTGGCAATAAAGACTGTCACTGACAAGAAGACATTAGAAAAAAATTCAGAATTAAGCTTGGTGGAGCAAGCAGTTAGGCAAAATGATGGGAATAGTCACTTCTAGCTTTGCACTAATGAATTGTAAAATCTGGGAAATTATTAATGAATCAATGTTTCTAGCAGTGTAGCATCTTTCTAAAAGACAAACTCCCAGATTAGGGACCCAAAACTCTTCACAAATTCATCTTCTGTTCATCATTTTGGCTGGGGGCTTTGACTGAGAGGATGGCTCAGCCATGGAGGAGGCACCACCTCTGAAGTTGACAGTGTAGCCAGGTTTTACAGCAAACCCAGATCAATGAAGGCTTATTTTCCAGTGCAGCACTGCATGCTGTGCTGAGTCAGGGACTGATTCTCAGACTGCTCAGTCATCCGTATGTGGGGAGAAAGACAGGACAACAGAGACCCCACACAGCAGAAGTCAGAGCTGTAGGCAATCCGTTCGCCAGGCTCAAGGCAGAAACTTGGCTTCCATAACTACAAAATTTGCCCCTAACAGCTGAGCTGGGATTCAGAATGAGGGATTGTGTTTTCAACCCTTTTTTAATCTCGCCTTTAAAATTATCAGGAAAGTTATTTAAAGTGTAAAGCACATGTAACGGATGTTCTTGTCTTCTCTAAGGCATGCACAGCACTTGTCAGATTGGAGCGGTTTTCAATTCCCCCTTGGCATTGACTCTCTGAACCCAGATTTGCACAGTATACTCTCAAGGTTAAATATTCGTTGATAATCACTGTAACTAAAGTAGCTGGTTATCTGTGTTCCCCCCCCCAACCCCCCCATTTGAAAGTGCAGATTCCCTGTACGCTGCAAGTTTTTTCTACCCTGCATAACCTGCCAAAATCAAGGGCATCTACGTTATCAACACAAAGACTGAAAGAAGGAGGCATCGGAGACTGATGAGACTGGCAGAAACCAAAAATCAACAGAGAGCACTGTTTTGTTATTCATTTCTATGGTTTATTATTTGGAAAGACTGTTTTTTAACTCAGTTCAGCTTGCCACAGAGCACATACATAACCAAACAAAACTGGCCCCACTTCCACAGCAAGTTAAGGAACAACCATCCCTCTCCCTTTTTACCAATGCTCTGTTTCAAAATGGTTCAGTGCAATCCTCAGTTGGTGTCATCCTTCAGAGAGTTCTTACCCTCAGGTGAAATTCAGAGAGTAAATTTAGGTGTAAACTGGTTTATTCTTCCATGCTGGTAGCATAGCTGGTAAAGAGCATGAGATTCATGTCCCGTTCCCAGCTCTGACTTGTTAAGTGACTTTCAAAACCAAACTTCACCTCTCTCTGCCTTCATTTCCCTTTCTATAAAATGGAAATAACAATACCTAATTGTTGAAAGAGTCCCTCATAAGATCTCTGTGTTATTGTAACAGCTAGCTACTGTATAAACTAATAATGTCATACACTGGATTTCTTTAAAAGGTGATATTCCTTTTGCAGCCTTATTGCACAAACCAGAAATTACAAATAACAGGTTCTAATTAAGAGACTGGGTTACTTAATAATTTACAGGAAGACACATTTTGTGCATATAAAATTAACTAAAAAAAGCAGTCTTGACATCAGATTACTGCATCTTATGATGTTAACCCGGGCATCTGTGATGAGATGGTATCAGCTATCCTAAGTATGTCAGGACATGACACAGAAGGTAAAGGCAATTTTAAAATAGCTACCATTAATTTCGCTGCTGAATGAGTTTCCCAAATTGAATACTGGGGACATCCAGCACATAAATCAGTGCACATCTCCAGCACACAATTCACCTTTACATCAGCTGGTAGGATCTGTTTTAAGGGGATCTGTTCTTCCCATTGAACAGCAGCCGCTGGAATGGAGTAGCAATGAGTCTAATTCAGGGAAAGTGAAAACAGCATTCCCTGACACAAAGAGGGAAGTATGCTTAAAAACAAGTCCATTTTGAAAAAGGTATCAGGATGTTTATGGCCAATGAATTATTTCAAATGTGATCATGTTACAGATGAACAAATTTCTTTCTTCTCCAACTGTAAACCCAGTAAATGCCATCTGCAATTAAAACTCAGTCAAGAGAATCAACTTGGATTTCTTTCTTCCATGTTCCTCACTGACAGACACTAACAGAAAAGCTGGGCAAGACCAAGTGATGCCAGTGCAGCTCTACTGCTGACTCCGATTTATAGTAATTAGTCCTACAAGGAGGCACAGGATTCAGCTTGTTTCCCTCGGTCTTTGTGATTCTGCAGTGCTCACAGAGCAGGAAAGCCATAACAACTTATTTTTGTCACTAAAGTCAGCAGATGTGTCTTGGAGAGCACAGAGTGACCAGATCTGCTGAGTAGGAAAGCAAAATTTTTTGCACAGTCACTTTTCAGAGTAGAACCAGGATTTTGCTGACTGGTCCAAGGTCACAGGAATCAGTTGCAGCTGTTCTGGGAACACAGCCCAGGAGGACCAGTGCTCACGTCCAGAACTGAATCACAATACAGCTCTCGCTTTTCTTCATATTCTTTAACAAAATCTATGCAGTTAATATTGAAGTACACCACATATTACAATTTTCCCAGAAATAAAGTGCCCAGGAAGCCATCCCCATACATATTGGAGTCTAAGCTAAAAAATGAATCATCTGACAGTTCCCTGTAGCTCTTGGATATATTTTCTCCCATCTTACATACTCCACTACAAGATCAAGATGACAATAAAAAAAAAGCACTTGACACATCACCCCAAAGCAAGCTAACTGTTACTAAGCACTGTTCTGACATTAAACCCTCAGCTTCTTCATCATCTTCAAATACAGTTTTTCAGATAATACCCAGAGGGACTTTGAAAACTTCAGCTTTCTTTTGCTTCTCGAAACTTGAGAATAAAACAAACAATCTCTCCAGCACAGGGAAGAGCAGGGTTTTTGCCATGGGTAACTTGCAGTATCAGGACACTTGCATGGGAGTCAGACTGTTTTAGTGCAAGACAGGCTCTCCATCCAGATGCCACCAGTGTTTTCATTATTCCTCACTGGAGGGATTTTTAGGGCAGTAAAGAACACGTTTTGGATGGTTAGGAGCAGAGAAATACATACTTTTCTGTTGGAAATATTCAAAACAATTCATCATCATGGCTTGACTTCGCGAATGAAGATTTGGGAAGGGCTTTACCCACGCTTACTACAAGCGCGCTGATGACTAAGAAGGCCGATGTGGGATAGGCAAATCCGGCTACAAAAAGCACAGCAGAAGGTCTCCTTGGGTGGAACAGGTGGGGCGCGATTCTTCCTGCGTTGTCTTTTCTCCTCGAGACTAGTTCGTCGTGAACTCTCAAAGGAGTCAGCAGCATTATGTATGGTGTGCTTCCAAGTCTCCCGATTGGAGGCCAAGGTGGACCACTGATGGTAGTCAATATGGCCAAGGCTAAGGTATTGTTTCAGGGAGTCCTTATATCTCTTCTTTGGGGCACCTCTCTTGTGGCTACCAGTGGCAAGTTCACCGTAAAGCACGATCTTGGGGAGGCGGTGATCCTTCATTCTAGAGACGTGCCCTGCCCAGCGCAGCTGCAGTTTCAGCAATGTGGCCTCGATGCTGGTGACCCCTGCCTGTTCAAGGACAGTGACATTAGACACATAGTCAGTCCAATGGATGTTTAGAATTGTACGGAGGCAGCGCTGATGAAAACGTTCCAGGAGTCGCAGGTGATGACGGTAGATGACCCATGATTCAGACCCATATAAAAGAGTAGACAATACAATGGCTCTGTAGACACTGATCTTTGTACTTTTCTTCCGGTGTTTATTACACCAGACTCTTTTATGGAGTTTTCCGAAGGCTCTATATGCCTTTGCTATTCTGTTGTCTATCTCTTTGTCGATCGTGGCATCCGAGGAAATGATGCTTCCCAGATAGCTGAACTGCTGAACTGTCTTAAGGTCTGACTCACCGATGGTAATATGGGGATGGCGATAATCTTCTTGCGGTGCAGGTTGGTAGAGGACTACTGTCTTTTTCAAGCTGATTCCAGCCCAAAAACCTCAGCCGCCTCCGCAAAGCAAGATGTTAAACGCTGCAGAGCTGCTTCTGTGTGGGCAAGAAGGGCGGCATCATCAGCAAAGAGCAGTTCACAGCCAAGATGGTTTAGGGTCTTAGTGTGGGCCTTCAGTTGCCTGAGATTGAATAGGCTACCATCGGTACGATATCGAATATAAATGCCGTCTTGTTTGTCGAGGTCTGCTGTAGCCCTTTGGAGCATCATGCTGAAGAAGATTGT